CTAAGCTGGCCAGCGGCGCAGCCGCATTCGGAGCGGGTTTCACCCATTGACACGTCTCACACGTGCGCGCATAGGTGCTCGTCCATTTGTACAACTTGGGCCACCAATAGTGGTGAACCACAGAGTTGTACGTTTCTCACGACCGAGATGACCACTGAGTGGTGTATCGTGAGCCTCATAGAGGTTGCGATATTTCAAATCCTCATCATGAGGAACCACAATTCGTGGTTTATCCGATGAATCGGTGCAATAGTATAGCAACCCATTAATCAGCGAATATCGGTGCAATCGTGCACGCAATCTTTTTGACAATTTCTTGTCCGAGTTTCCAAGCTCCTTGCTCCCAAGAGTCTGTTGCAGAGATCACCCGTGTATGCAGCGCGGAACAAATGCGTCACTGACGACGTCACCGTCGTGACATGAGCAAGCTTTTAATTCAGTTTGCGTAACAACGCATCAGCCAAAGCTTTCTACTTCCTGGCTTATGCTTCACCTCGAATTTATGTTCTGCTAAGAAGGACAGCTACCTGGCTATATTATACGAGAGAGGAGGCGACTAAGTTGCAGTGCGTAGTGACGCATGATCTGGTTAGATCACAAACGGCTTGGAGCAAAGCAGGGCCACCCTGAACTTGACAAGTGCATACTTCATCGCGAGTAGTTTCTTATAGTAGACTAGGTAGTTCTTTTCCGCAACTTTAAGCTGGCAAGATCCGAACGCAATCACTCCTTCTCGCCCCTCGGCGTCTGCTTGTAGCAGCGCACAGCCGATGGCATAGACCGAAGCGTCACAGGCGACACTAAAATCACGATCGGTGTCTGGCAACGCCAGTACCTGGTGCATGAAGGAGCCTGTCTTTTATCCCTTAAAAAGCCTCCTGATGCTCGGTGTCCCAACATAATTCTGCATCCTTCTTACGGAGATTAGACAATAAGTGTGCCATCTCGGCATAATTTGCCCTATACTTGTGCAGTAGTTGGCGAGGCCAAGCCACTTGCGCAAGTCCTTTTTAGTCTTTAAAACGGCCAGTCCATGATGGCCTTGACCTTAGTGGGATCCGCTCGATGGCCACGCTACCTAATGAAGCACTCAGAAAAGGATTTTCAGCACCGAAGATGCACCTATCGGCATTAGCATACACCTAATTCGTGCGCATGCAGTCGAACACCGCTTTAAAATGAACGATGGGATTTTCCTCATCTATCCTCCCGTACTCCGCACGACTATGGACAAAGATGTAGTCGAAGTATGTCTGTGCATATGCCCGTGTTGCCTGAACAATTGCGTCACAAGACGAAAAGAATGTTGCTGGTGCATATGACAGCCCTTCGGGGATCACTAGCCCCTCCCAGAGCATCCCGCTCAGAGTACTCAACGCTGTCAGCGTATAATCACTCGCTCTCATGAGCAATTGGTAGTAGCTATCGACTGAATCGAGTGCGCTGTACTATGTACAGCCAACCACATTGTTCGTAGAACATCCTTTTTAGTAATCGACGTCTGTGCCGGAATAGTAATAGTTTTTGGTTCATTGTAAACGTGAACGATACGCCGCTTGCCGTTCGGCTTCCGAACACAAAACGTGGGAATCAAATGGGGAGACTTGCTCTCATGCAACATTCCTGCGCCGTACTTTGCACCAAAAAGGCGTCAATGGCGTCACACTGCTTTTTGGGCAGGGGGAATTCGCGTGTTACGCAGGCCAGGTCAATCGAATGACGCACACCTCGATCCGGAGGTGAAACCGCCGACAGGTCTCTGGAGACGACGTCTTGAAATATCTTCGCCAAAGGATCGTACGGATTCGAGGGATCCTTCAGGATCGACGATTCACTATGTGTATTCAGCGCACTCTAGAGTTACCTCCTGGACAGTTTGATTCAGAAGGGACGTCGAGTTAATCTCCTCGTTTGGTCTTATAGTGACCACCTTGGCTAAATTTCCTGCATTCAAGGCACCGCCAAACTCTTCGAAGGACAACTCGTCCAGCTAAAGAAGAGCATCCACCGCGGGATTAGCCTCGAGGGTACGTCGCCGTCTTCCTCCCCCGTCATACCGTTGACAAGGATATATAGCTGTGCGCTATCGTCTACGATAGACACACCCTAAGTCAGGGTCGACGCCCTACGTCTGCAAATATCATACGGCTTCGTCGTCTCCTCTCTATATAGTTTATCTTTCGTCTCATCGAGACCAGTGGGAACACGCACTCGGCGTCTCCCTGCTCCATCGGAGTGCTGATGCTATAAGAACATCCGACTAAGAGCTGCTTTTTCGCAGTCTTCGTCCAGTGGATAACGTGCCACTCCACGCGTATCAGAAGATCCTCGCCATTGATGCCTCGGGCCTCGTCCGACCATGCCAATCTTGGTGTTTCTTAATTTGAGCAATGTTCAGTGGGTTACGTGCCACTCCACGTTCAGCCCGTGATCCTTGCTCAGGGCTCTTGTTCAAAACACCTTTGGTTTTTAAAAACTGGGGTACTCCGATTTCCAGCACAGTGACCGCCCCGGCCCAGTGCCCGCGCCAATAGTACTTCTGCTTCCTAGCAGAGATTATGACCAAAGCCCCACCAGTAGACGTGCGTGTAGCGCTTAAGGTCGCCGATCTCCACGATCCGTGACTCATGGTGATCCCACCATGCCATACCAAGAATGAGGTCATACTTTCAGGGATTAAGCAGAGCTCCACGCTATCAAAGTCAAGAAACTTGACACCGCGGTCCACAGGGACCCTCGGCACCGCGACACATGTCTCCGTCGCTAAGAGAACAATGACGATGTAGCTCAACCACTCTTTTAGCGGCTCAGCAAAAAGTTCACTTCTTTCGATCGTGGAGCGTCGAGCATAATTGCCCGACGACCCGGCGTCAATGAGGATCCTCCATGGCATCTCATAGCCCTTCACGGTCGCTTTTACGACCAGCAAGCCCGACTTGCATTCACGCTCAAGAGCACGGAGCTCTTCGGGGCTGGACCTGATGGCCTCTACCTCTTTGAGAATCAACAAAAATCAGTTCTTCCCCAGTAGGGTGCCCCACGCCTACTGGGTGTTGTTGTTCCACGCGAAAAACCAGAAGACTAGTGAGAAGCGGAGCGTCGGTTCAATGAAGCTTGACGCACCTTGCGCAGGGTACAAACAGTCCGAGGGGGGTGTCTCCACAAATAAAACACCGTCGTTATCGAACGCTGCCCGGCAGCTCGTTGCTCTGCCTCCTCTTTCCTCGAAAAGCTGAGATTTATCGGCTCAGACCCGCTCGACGAGCTGCTAAAGGGTGCATGTCAAACAAGCCGTACCGACTTAAAGTTTAATTCGGCAATCAATGCCACATTCACTGCTACTTCAACAGAAAACGGATGCACACGGAAGACTTCCGCTTTGGTCGCGCCAGTACGGAGGCCCTCCATAAAGGCGGTCACTGTGACCGCCACGGGGAGAGGATCGGCTGCCATCCAGGCATTGAGGGTACCTAAACCTTGGCAAAGTCCACCAATTCCTTCTTGCCCTATCGGCGGCAAGGAAACGAGATCGCACGCGATATACCTGTCTAAGCGGCGTGAACGCTCGTGAAAGCTGCAGCTTCAGCTCTGTCCGGGAGATAAACGCCGCTTCGACCGAAGTGCCGCACGTCATTTCCCAATCTTGCGCTTGACCTCGAATTTGGAGATAGCTTGCACCCCGCGCTGTTGCTCAGTCTGGGGCATGACTGACGCCATGACAATCTTGATTCCTCTTCCTGAGCGGTAGATTCTCTCCATCCTTGCCCTCGGATGTCTTAACGCTCACCATGGGCGGCTTGGGTCGGGAGGAGTCGTTTGTCGTCAACGGTGACGCCGACATCTTCTGTTCAAGGTGCTCTAGCAGAGCTTTTTCATAGCGCGATACAGCTCTAGGCGCACGCTGATCGCTTCAGGTCTTTGTGAAGCAAGGTGTTGCACGCCCTCACAGCCCATCCGAGACATCAGCTTTTAAGCCCATTCTGCATGCCCTGGGGCAAATATGAGAACTGCTCTATCCTCACAGAGGATCAGCTGTAGCGACTCAGGTGTAGATTGACTACAAGTACTACCAAGTGCAGCGGGATGCCATAGCTCTTTCGCTTAGAGGAAGTTAAGCTAAGGTGGGTGACCTTCGGTCTATACTAGAACCAGTACGAGTATAGCGGATCACAAAACGCTTACTCCAAAAGTAACCCCAACTTTAACCCAGGCCAAATAAACTCTTCCTTTCAAAATATCAATTGTATTTCTTGGTTCTATTTGCGGTAAAACCACTTTTATCTATATCCAAAGTTCTCCCAATTAAGGAGTAAAACCTAATCAAAATGCATAACCACTGGCAATTCAGCCACCTACTGACTTCTTATTAGGATTTAGCCACACCATTATGTGGTCACACCATCTTCTGTGACCCACCCCTTCATACCAGGGTAAATTCACACTATAGTTGTGCAAGGAGACGGCTAGGCCAAACCACTTCCTTAAGTCTCTTAATAAGAAAGACAATGCTTCATATACGATGATCTTGTTTTTTTCGAGATATACCCACAGACCAGAATTTCTAATGAAGCAGCCTTTTGAAGGCATCTCATTGGTACCAGCGACAACCTTGTTTATATTGGCAATCAGCTTCTTAAAGCGCATAGATTCACGCAGTGCCCGCAAGGGGTTAATGTGGTGCTCCACATCCAACTGCCAGTGCTCTACACAACAGTAATAACTGTGTTTTCGAGATAAAGTTTTGTATAGCCATGATGCGGAGTGAAAACAATGGCTGAAAATAATGCGTTCTAAAACTTCCGATCCAAAAGTATATAATGAAAAATTAGTGACGCTTGGTCTTTATTCGCCTTTTACATTCCGGAATTGAACATCAAGCTTCTAGATGAAAAGTTTACAATTGCAATGAACAGATCAAGAAAATGTTCGCTTTGGCATCCTAATTAATGTCTTTACATTGGATTTTATAGAGCAAATGTGCAAAACAAATACAATATAGCTAAAAGTGTATATACGTAATAGTGCGAACCACAAGATAGAACTTGAAAATTCGCACAGTAAGCTTTTAAAAGGATGTAGGATAGAATCGACCATTCACCGCTTATTGCGCAGCATCTAAGCAAAAGCTTTTGGAACTACTTAATAAAGGAATGCAATCACTGTCTCTTCCATCTGATCCGAAGCCACATTTATGGCTTTAATAACTCTTTTTCTGAATATTTCTTCTGAGAGAACCTTACTCGGATCCGAATATAATCCTGTTGGACATTGAGCCTAAACCTGTGAGCTGATGCTGACCAGTAGACCAGTAGCGTCAGTGCGTATGCTCGTTCTTCTTTTCTTTTTACTCTGTGCAAAGCTTGCGTGCGGCGACACTCTTTTGGTATCTCAGCGCAAGTACTCAAAGTCCGAGACGATTGATTATCAGGACACTGTTCACGACAATCGCATTTTCTTGACGGATGATGGTAAGCGTGATTTTAATGAAGAACGAACAGTGCGAGAGGTTATTGCCATTGAACAAAAGATGAGGAAGGTGGTCGAAACCTCCACACCTGTGCAAAGTATGAAAAATAGAATTTTGCCGACGTTAAAGCGGTGGCTGTTGTCACTACGGAGGTGGTTGGTATATGCTTACTACAGATTTACCGCTCGGACAAAGTTCACTGAGTTAAAACGACTGACCGACAAAGGAAATTACGGATATGATCAGGCGATTGTACTTGGGTATACTCCGCATTATGCAAAAACCATGATTCAATATCGCGAATTTCAGCAATCAAAGAATACGAAGATTCTGCCTGTTACGAAAGTCGTCAAGAATGCTGAAGATCAGGTTGTTGATAAGCTTTCGTGGCGGTACCGTCAGCTCCTCGGACTTCCAGGTGATGATGTTTTACCGGTCTCTTTGAATACGGTCTGGTCGAACACCGTAGATGAAATGTCGACTTTGGATCGGCTTATTGTAAAGTTATCTCTCCGTCAAGCTACTGTCCTTATTAAAAGAAAAGCAACAGCTCAGGAGATGATTTCTCATGGTGTGACTCCAATCGTCTACAAGAAAGCGCTGCTGGATATGGATTTGCTGGAAGGTCCGAAGTGGAAACAGCTCAAGTCTTGGAAGACAAACCCACAAGTCAATACTTTTTTGGAGTACCTGAAAGCAACAAGGAACATGCCCGATAGCACGTAGTCTGCAATTGAGAATCTGTTTTGGCCGTCACGCGAGCATTGATACAATAGGGAGAAGCAATCATGATGGTGCTTCTTGACAGCATTACTTCATAATTTGTCAAACTGTATTGTCTGGTGTCTCCTGTGATCATTGGGATGGTTTACAGTCCGTCACACATGATAAAAAATATCATTTGATATAATTTCTTTGATGACAAGAAAGAGTGTGTCCTCTGATAATTTTAAGAGTGGACACTTTAAGATTGTAGCGAGATTACAAACTGTAAAAAAGACACCACAGGATATGTAGTCCACAGAACCTGTTGCACAAGACCTGTTAGGCATGTCAGGTATCAACTGTTGTGCAATCTTCCTGTTTCCTTCCATGAAGGCTTTGGGTCCTCACACTGCGAAGTCGAATGCGATGTTTCAAGTACAAATAGAGATTTTTTTTTTGCTTAGTCTTGTCTCCAACGAATGGTAAATATCTAAAACATTACTATAATGACAGTGCTGCCGACCGATTATGGAGCTGCAACAAGACACGTCGCAATCTCATCAAAAATGCACGCTGGTTCATGTTCGACCGCCGGGGCTTCTCGTTGATACCGACATCAGTAAGTGATGGCGTGAGTGATAAGCGGCCGACCCACATCGAAGGTTTGTGAGCGGATGAAGCCGAAATTTCTTTTCTTAGCTGTGCAAAACTTGCTATTTGACAAGCTCATAAGCAAACGGATCCGAAAAGACAAAGTCTCGCGAAGATGGATTGCCGGCACGAGGTCCACAATTTTAACCTCTATTGCAGATGACGACACGACAAGAGGGTCCATCGCCGCGTCCAATCACTCCGTCAGTAAGTAGATAAAGCGCCACACGGTATCCCTGCGCAACTGAACCAGCCTCGCCTTTTAATAGACGTCGTCATCGTAGATAGCACTATCGCGCACATATTTTTTTTGCCAGAGTTGCTCTTCTAAACAGTCCTGAGGACAAAAAATATATGTTCTTCGAGAAGTTCCGTACTCAAACTGCGGCACATGGCACGTTATGTTTGCTCTTGGAGTCTGCTTCAGTGCACTTTGCGGTGATGCTTGTGACGACAACATGTGAAGAAAAAATGCTGCCAGCATCGATTTTGAAGTGCATGAGTTTGGAGAAGCTAAATGACATGGTGGTGTTGTACAGATTGCCAGCGCACGTTTAAGGTCGAGGTGCAGCGTACTATTGCTAGCGCTATATGCAGTAGGTATGTGGCATGCAGTTGTCTCTGGCCTTGCGTACAGGCTGCTAACATTTGCATCTGCGGGCGTTCCAAGACATCCTGTTTGCTGCAATCAACTCAAGGAAGGAGATTGGTCCACAAATTTTTCAAACAGCAGATCAGTATTTGTGTAGATGGGTACGTAGACGGAAACGGAGAGGATGTCGATCAATAGCACCGGAGTCTGACCCGATCCCCACGACCGAGAAAATGCTTATAACGACTTCTACGGGGTCTGTCCAACAGCGCTACTACGCTTGGAAGCGGAGACCGCTTTGTTGAACATGGAGGAGCTCGACAATGCTTTGGACAAGATTGTTATATTGTTGACGCCAGAACTATCATTTCGTACACAAATAGATTCCCTTGAAATGCACAGCGCCAAAATCACATCATGCGAGCCCGTGTCTGAGGTATCATTTTTTTGAGCTATGCGAATTTGAAAAGGGGTACCCATTTTCTTTACATGACATATCGGCCTTTTTTTTGTAAGAACTTATATTGTACAAATAAAGTACATTTTCGTGGAATTGGGCCATCATGATGGGGCATTGTAACAAAGATGTCCGATGTACATGTGCGCTGTTGGTCTTATGTGAAGTAATAGAGAGAGTCCATGACTGAGTTACTTATACATTTCGTAAATTTTGCGACCATAGCACTAACAAATAAAAGTCTTGATTCCGATCCCTAAAATTAATTGTCCCAGGGATAACATGACGTGCTTGGAAAGCACTGGTCTATCGTCGGTCTCGAAGACATTCGAAAACTAAAGGCCTAAGGTTCAAAGACGCAAATTGTTTGCCAACGAGCTATTGGAATTGCGCTGGTGAGGCAGCTTCAGGCTGCTGATCAAAAACTTTGTGTACCAGTCTTCTTCCATGAGTTGATCGCAGCAAATAAACACGATTAAGGGCCATAATAATGGAATAGCGCAGATTGCTAGAGCCGACCGATTGACTAAGAATGCTAATACATGTGGTGATAAGCACGTTCCACACGCGTGTTCTCAAGTGCTTAGCCAATTGTACATCTTTGGTCACGAGTTCACAGTGCTTGCTGTGCCGAACATTTTAAGTAAAAATTAAGTTAAGATCCCATTAGATTCTGCATTTTATAATCTCATCGAGACGCGAGACCACAAGCTAAATGTCAACTCAGTCAATGCTGCAATTCATCCGGCTTTTTAAAAAGAAATCGTGGAGTAAACGCGGTTCAAAGCGTTTGATTTTGCGCCATTTGCTCCCAAGCGCATTTCGTCACGAAACATCCTACAGTACAATACACACTGCGTCTGACTCGTATGTACCCATCGTATCACCTAATCGATGCGGACATAGGACTGTACGTATCGCGAAGTTGGAACACAGGTTGTTCAATTGCCTCGGATTGGTTAGCTTATGTCTCGAGAATCTAGAAGCTGGTTGTACAAGGGCCAGAATCGGTAGCTGCTCACCTGAGGTATCAATCAACTAAGAATTCACGCTTCAATCGGGCGTCACTTCAAGCCATATGATTTCTATCATGTGGCCGCTAATGTTGAGCGTCCAGCCCTATGAGCCACGAGTTGAGATAGCGTGAATCGTTGAAAGTTATTTTTTACTGAAGATTATTGCAGATTTTGACAAGTGGTCGTCAAACAGCTACAATGCGCAGTGTTGTGCTAATTCTCTCTCTACTTTTACATGAGCTCTCAATTCTTGGCGCTCTCTCAACCCAGCACGAGAAACTCGTGTTTGAGACGGTACTGGCTGCTAAGTACAACCCAAAAAAAAATGGTCGTAACGAATGATGAAAAGCGCAGTTTAAGAACGAATTGAAATCTCGACTAGTGCCACAATAAGGGAATAAAGTGTTCAACAAGTTACCTCATGCGCAAAATCTAAGCAAGGGATGTTTACCTTCATTGAAGCGGGTGCTTCTGGTGCCATTGAAGGCCTTATCGCGCTTATTTCTCAGGGCGTTGGTTTCTGGAAGGTAAAATCACTTTTGAGTAAAAGACCAAGTGGATATGACGCAGCGATTATCCAGAATTTTAACGCCAATTTGGTGAGCACCATGATTTAATATCGTAAGTCATAGATCTACTAGGGCGACCTGCCAACATCGGTGAGTTCTCTGAGCAGTTATCGCGAGTTGTTGGGAGTCCTAGAATCTGCCGATAAACCTGCCTTGTTGAATGAAATTCGGTCATATGCTGTGTCTCGCAGTTTGCTATTGTCTCGAATTGACGTAAAAATTCAGCTCTTTCTGTCCTGAAATTTTTATCTCCCAATGTGAGCTTAATGGTGTACATGAAAGCGCTGCTAGAATTGGACATAAAGAAACTTACACTGTACGACTACTCGAATATCTTTAAGCTACGAACAACATGCCTGTGAAAGCTACTGCGAAATAGGCATCGGAAATTGCTGGGGCTGCTGCAAAAATGCCAGGTTACAAATGCAAAATTGTAGCAAAAGTCGTTTGTCGCTGCTTTACTGAGTGAGCAGGATGCGTAAATAAAGAGTGAAGAAAAGGAATTGCTTGCGATTTATGACATTTTGACGATGAAGGAAAAAGTGCCGGATTGTTAGTAATAACGGGAAAAAGCAATGCGTTGCTGTAGTAGGTGTAATATGTCATCAATATACTTTTCATTTAATATATAAGTGCTTTCTCATACATACTGTCGAACAAAATTGGTGCATTCTTCCTGGGTCTCTATCTTGAGACGAGTCTTTAGTACATATGTCGACTTGATGCTTGATAAAACTGTCACCTCAAAGTTACACGGCATTTTTTAATTGTGAAGCTAAGGATTCTTTTATGTGTTTTATACATCACTATTGTGTTGTAAACATCAGTATTGTGTTCTATACATAAGTATCAAATATGTCCTTAATGCGAAGTGCTTTGAGCCACGCACCACATAGTATTCAGTGGTTCTCCGACGAAGTACGGCTCGCACTTGAGATCTTTCACTATTACCCTCCCTCATTTGAGGGAATTGTGAGCATTACATCAAATGCGGAGTACAACATCCAAGGTGCGACGGCGTGATGGGGTCTCGGAAGTAAATCCTCTTGGAGCGTGCCCGGGGCAAAGTGTAACGGGAATTGCCCGTCCGTGTACACACAGTTTCTAAAAATGGATGAGGTCAGTTGACATGCCTCTTCGCGTGTTGCTCGCTTAATGTGGGCCGTAGACTTACGCAAAGACGAGAGGAGTTACATTTATTATTATAGGCAATAGGCTTTGAACCTCCCTTACTTGATCAATGCATCCAATTTTGAAAGGGGATATACAGATATACAGGGTGTATACTTGATGTTAGACACACAATTTACTCAAATTATGTGGACCACAAAACATACACAATCCTTCGGGAGTCGACGCCAGAATGCAAAGAGCAGCCTAAAATTATAGAACTGACCTCTATCAAAACTCGGGCTCAGCTTTCAATTATCGACTATAATGAAGAAACTTGGGTCGTTCAGCTCAGGGCTGATATCTACGACCCAGGCTATTTAAAATTGTGAGTAATTCGATCGATAAACGAGCTTCAAGGAACAACCCAAAATACGAATTGCCGAGAAGAGTGGACAGTAAGCAGATGCAGTAAGTATACCGATAACTGAAAGGCATCTGTGCGTCTGGGACTTGTGTTGTAGCTTCAAAACAGTCTGATTACTTCAATCGTAGTTAACCAAGATCCGAAAAAATGCTCTCACTCTAGGTATGGCGCTGCAGGAATGTCACAATCCATGTTACGACTAAAGTAAAGAACCATGTGCAAGCATTTCTCTCCTGGTGGAGTTTTGGCCAAATATATAATCACATTTGTTAGAAAGCAAATGTGCTTTTGTTTGGACTCGATGCAACAGTCTTCTTGCATGACTTGTGATTATTCAGAATTGATAGCTTTAACTCTACCAAGTGAATTGAGTATTCTCGGCAGGCAGAAGCGGCTGTGAATCGCAGTATCAGAATGAATCAGAGGATAGCGAGCGCATATAGCGTGTTACTCTGTTGTACTGAAAGGAGCAATTACATACCGTATTCTGCAAAATGTATTTCAATGAGAAGGTAAAGAATAGCTCAAAACTGGTGTCTGACGAGTCAAGACGAGTGGAGCTAAAGTGCGACTGTAAGTCACATGTCAAATTGACCAGAGTTTAGTGCTCCCTGAAGTTAAACAGGTGCCTACGCTGATCCAACACTATCATGTGACGCACCCATTGCGAGATCAGTTGCAATTTTGCTTTACGAGATGTGATGAAAAAGATTATCCAGTCTTGAATGTATTAACTTGGTTATCCTCAAGGGTTATATGTCACCCTCACTACAGCGAGCAGAAGTTGTTACTGAGGTGAAGGTGAAATTTGAAGAAGATACATGCGAGGAATTGCAAAACCGTGCAGTTGACGAGATCATAAAGCTGGTACAAGGAAAGAAGCTGAACTCGTCATCCGTCACAATTGAATCGACTCACAGAGCACGAGCGGGTTCAGGAAAACAGCCATCCTCACGGATACTTCGGATCGTTTTCAACTTTTTTTTATAAAAAATGACATGAGACCTACAATGCGTGTAATCATTGGATTTGGCAGCGCATTATCTAATTCATCAAATTCACTTTGTTCCCGGAATCATCGATCGTGTATCTTGGCAATGGATCCAATATGGAAGCATACTTTCGTCACGTGCAAAGCATAAAGCGGGTCATGTGAAAGGAAGTGACTTGGTACTGGTTTTCTAAGTCAGAAAGAATACCGGCAAGCGACGAATTTGCCATGCTTCTAATAAGCTAGATACATCAACAACTCCGATGATTTTTATAGTTTTGTTGGAGAAGAGTAACGATCGGTTGACTATGTACATGGCTATTGACCTGTCGTTGACTATCATTCTGTAAAGACTATGTGCAAGCGTAACCTATGCTCTACGTTGCTCTGAGGAAGCAAATACGATAATGAATTATA